TTGGACGATTAATATGTCAGGCTATTGTATCACTACTTGACTGTATGACTAATATAGTTTGCTTTTTGTTACAGGTGATCATCGTTGGATTTATCATCTACTCGTTTAGATTGTCTTCTACTTTTTAAAATATATATCTATAAAAAACGCATTTCTGAAGGCACACACGTATTTAGACACTAAAAATTAAATATAATTATTTTACATTTTCTTACAATATAACTATACTATCGTCATCGTGTTAAGTACTTACTATCGTCCAATGTTGGTCCCAGTTGTAACAAAAATGATGCTGGGTAGATAAAAAAGGGGACTTGTGAATTTCTATATACTTCACCACAAAAAAGTTCGCACAGAATCGCAACAGCAGAAAAAAATGAAAAAATGAAAATATTTACCTATTGTTTATACATTATGAACGATTAACTTATTTCTTTTCACTACCTTATAAGTTGTTACTTTGGAAATCAACTTTAAATATATCCCCTGCAAGTATATATATATACCAACTTTACCTTCATCTTTTTTAAAGTGCGCTTGCGCCTTGAATTTGTGGTTGCGCATGTGTATAACATATCTCCCACTTATGATGTTGCCATTTTATAATTATTCAAAGTTTAATAATTATTTTCAACTAATATATTGATAAAATAAAGTTGAGGAGCCGGACAAACAAAAAGTCAGCGATTGATTGAAAACAAAAAACAATAGAAAACTTCATTGCTTTGCTTAGAAATGAGAAAAAACGTTTTTGATTTTTCAATTATTAATAACTAATTAAATAATTAATTAATATAGTGTGCAATTATAGATTTTAAATGTGCAATAAGAAGTACTTATTCATTTTTTTCTGCTGTTGAGGTTCTATGCCAATTTTTCTGTGTTAAAATATTTTCATAAATTCAAAGAATATTTCGTTCAATTGTTTTTAATTAATATTATAAATAAAATTTTAATTTATAATATAAATAATAAAATAAATATTTTTTTGTATCTTCATGATATCTAGTTTTGCTTATAGCTTTCATTCGCGTTTTATAAATTAAAAATTATTAAAAAAGATCTCAGAGAGGAAAGAAAATCATATATCAAATTTATCGAATCTACTACTACATTAATTTACACCAAGTAAAATTTGTATAATTGGACGTTTGAACGGGCTTTTGGAAATTAATTAAATCGCATCAGATAAAACACTTTGTAATTTTTGTTTTTGTTGTTTGATATTTTTTTTTTTCTTTTCAATACTTTTTTTATTATCATTTTTTGTTCCTTTTTTTTTTTGTCGATTTTTTTTATTACGAACATGTTTTACAAAGCAAAATCGTGTGTGTGTGTGATGGTGATGGAAGTGATGGTGAATGTGGGAGGCGCTGAAGAACTACAAGAGTTAGTGTCGCTGGGGGTTTACACAATTTAACAAGATTTCTTTTTTTCTTCCAGAGGATGATGCAAATATAAGGACATCGGCACGTTGATATAAAAAGTACTCTTTTTTCATTTCTTTAATTTTTTTTTTTTTTTTTTTAAATAGATATAGCGTGATGATGAGAATTTAGGCCGGCACATTCATTCAACCATTTTCGTTTGTTTGTTAGTTAATATTTTTTGTATCTTTTTCTTTTTCTTTAGTTTACATACACACGAATTACACTGCACTTTCATATGTATGCATTCGGGAGATAAAGAGAAGAACACAACCCCTCTTTTTTTTTTTTCACAAGAAGCGCGCACTTTTTTCGGTTTTTGTTTTAATTCATTTCTATTGTTGTTTTGTTGTTGCTGTATTATTATTATTTTTTATTTTTATTATTATTCTTGCGCAAGAGGTTTGCTTTTTTTAACATGCCCGATAATTATTTATATCGTTATTTATTTATTTATTATTATTTCTCGATGTATACTTATAAAAAAAATACCACGATAAACGACGTGACAAATTCTGTACAATTTTTTTTTCATCTTCTCCTTCTTCTTTTCTTTTTCGCATCTCTTTCTCGACACACGGTTTTTTTTTCTTTATATTCTTATTATTAATTTATTTATTTGTTTATTCATTATTATTATTATTATTATTATTATTATTATTAATTTTTTTCCTCTTTTTAGTTTTTTTTAAATCTCTCTTTTGATTGGTACATATTACAATCTTCTTGCTAGAAAATACAAATTAAAATACGTCTTTTATATTTCCATTATAACATTTGTTTTGTTTGTTTCTTTTTTGTTGCTACCGTTTTCAGGTCCACGATTTTGTTGACGATTTATTTTAAAAAGAATTTTTTTATTTGGCCGGTGTCTCGCGTTTCTTTTTTTTTTTTCTTCTTTTTGTTGTTATTTTTATTTCCTTTAAAATGCGTATTATCTAACGGTGTCATGATTTCTAAGAACGCATGCACGTTGATTCAGCATAGATTAAACATTTAAAAATCTCCCTACAACTTTTTGTCGATCCTATTTAGTTTTATTTTATTTTATTTTATTTCTTTTTTTTTTTTTTTTAATTAAGACAGAGAGAAGTGCTTAGGTACGAATTCATATAATTTCTCTTGTTGTGTGTTACGAGCGGAGAAAATACTTTGTTTTTTTTATTATTATAATTATTATTATTATTAATTTTTTTTATTTTGTTTCCTCAACAATTTAAATTTATTTACGTATGTAAAATGTATGTTATGCGCGCGCGCGTTTGTATGTGTGTCTCTTAAATGTGTAGGATGAATTTTTTTGCAAAATAATTCTTTCATTTAAATCGTGGATAATAATTGTATCTTGTCGTTTAAAAATCGGTGGATGCTGTTTACGAAACAAAGTAGCAAAATAAACAACAACAACAAAAAAAACAATTCGAGTCCAATCAAATCGAAATCAAATGAAACAAGAAATCGTATAAGAACGTGTTATATTAAATAATCGTTTTGTTTTTTTAACAATTTTCGTGATGCGATCGACTTTTTTTTTTCAATAACATAAAAATGAAATTTAAAAAAATTAAGGAGAAAGAAAACGAAAATTACATATGTCAGAAATGTCACTGTGTCATTAAATTCTTTTACGTTATTTTTTTTCTTTTCTTCACACTCCAGCCATGGATGCTTTTTTATTACGATATAATGAAGAAAATTTATTTTTTTTTGGCGATCCAATTACCGTATATATACACGTACACATATATATTTACACACATATACAGAATGTCCCAGGTTAATTTTCTTTTTCCAGTAAAACTTTACCAGTATATTCTATAAATAAAAATAAGCGAAAACGAAAAAGAGAAATGTGTTCTTAAATGTGTTTAATTTAAAAAAGTTATAATAAAAAATAATACGGAATAAAATAGCGAACGATTTATTCCTATATTTGTTGTATCTGACGAGAAAGAAAATCGGTCCCATTTTGTTACAAAACTTTTGAATAAATTCATTTACAAATCTCGGACGCACGTTAATTATAAAACAAAAATTGTCTGTATTTTTATTTATAGAATTGTACACAAACTGGGCCACCCCATATATTTTACATGCATATAAGTATATGTATACATATAAATTTTGTATTTTTTTTTTTTTTTTTTTTGTGAACTTTTTTTTTTTCTTTTTTTTTTTTTTTTTTGAGCAGAACGAAAATGCTGCTTTTAGATAAAATCATCACACTCATGACATTAAAGAAAAATCCTATTTAAATATTTACAATTGAGATCGACGTTAAAAGTAATGAGCAATCTGTCTTGTTCCATAATTTTTTAACGTATTATTTGATTAGTATATATATGTATGTATATATACATATATAAATCAAATATATATTATAGTGCGTGCATAGGAAGGCGCAGTTCAGTGGTATTACAATAAAAAGATTCAGTCGCACCACACCCTGCAGAGCCGATGAAAGAAACCACTAAAAATAAAACATAAACGCGAACATGTTAATATATGTAATACGCTATAATATTTCCTAGTGTAACAGTAATAGCTACTGGTAGACAAACAGACAGTTTGGCAGGCATGGTGAACATAAAATCAAACATGTACACGCTCTCAACACATAAAACCAGACCTATTCCTTCTCTTTATATATATATCTATCACTCTGTTTTATTTTTTTCTTTCTTTCACATACGATTACTTTCTATCATTCAGACTCCCCCTCCCCACCCCTTCACTCATCTTCATTACTTTTATTCAAATTCCTTATACTCTATTATCATTCACGAGAGTTCCTATAATGTTCTTGTAATATAGGCTTTGTTTATTTTCTTTTTCTTTTTTTTTTTTTTTCTTTTTTTATTTCTTTTTATTCAGTAATATATATACCTAATAATATTAACGTAAACTACACCTAAAAGACTAACACATTTTTTCTTCGCCGGCGCGTATCTTTTTCTTTTTCTTTTTCTTTTCTTTTCTTTTTTTTCGTTAAATCAACGCGACGCCGATTACTTTAATTTCTTCTATTTCTTCTTCTTCTTCTTCTTCTTTCCTTCTTTCTTTCTTTTCTTTTTTTCTTTCTCTTAATTAATAGTTAGGAATATCGGCAGTGAAATTCCAATGATAGACGCGGCAGGCAGGCGGTCAGTCCAGCGACATGTATGTATGTACCTATCTGTGTATATGTGTATGTATTACGTAATACGTAAATGTATTATTTTGTATAATTTGTGTTCGTTTAACTTTACCCTATCATTTTCTCGTTTCTTTTTTTTTTTGTTTTGTTTTTTAATTATTTTATTTGTTTCTTCTGTTTGTCTCTCGTGTTTAATTTTCTCTCTCTTTTTTTTTTGTTTTTTTTTTTTGTTTTTTTTTTT